TGCTTTGGTAGAAGAATTAAATTTTACAATAACCAAATTTTTGTGCAAAATAAAGGAATTTAATTTTTTCTAGGAGGGAATGGGAGAAGAAAGAACATCCATTTTCTTACATCAAATATTAAGAAAGGCACAAACAGTAACAAATACTCAAAACTACCCTGTGAAATTTCAAAGTTACAAACATTTATTATTAAATTGATACAAAACAATATAACAGCACAAATTTTACAAAAAAGGCTTGAACAAAAAGAACATCCTTTTATGCATCTTATTAAAGGCAACATTACAAAAATTACAGAAATAACTGGCTCTAAAAAAAGATTCATAGTACAAATTTTTTCAAATCATGAAAGAAAAAGCTTTGGAAAGGGCAAATGAAAGCTGTTAGTAAAAAAGGTACTCCCACTTAATAAATAAGCAAAAAACCTACATACTTATTTGATGAGAATCCCAAGAACTTTTCCAATCTTTTGCAATTTCTTTGTTTTTAAAGTTTCCCTTTCAGGATCAGCCTAAGGGTGTACTTTGTTTTTCTTTTTCATCAGCATAGTTTTGAGAATGCCAAGACTTTTTTGCTCTTTGCTTTGTTGCCAACTTTCTCATAAGGAAGCCTTTGTTCAGGCAGATTTGTGTCTGATCTTCCAGTCATTTTCCTGTCTTCCTTCTACCAGCTGATCTTGGTCGCTTGAGATGATTAATCACTTCTGGATGATGTATCACTTCCTTATGCTTCCTTTCAGCCAACCACCTTCTGCTGTTTCCAACCACTTTTTCTGTTTTCTGGTTACTTTTTGAAGCTATCTGCTGATCTATGTTCTTAAATAGCCTTGGGAGTGGCTCAACAGATCTCAACTTATTGTAGTTTGAGTTCACTTTGGCAACAATAAATCACTTCTTCTTTTGTTCTCTATGTCTCATACCATTCATTCAGCAGAAAAACCTCTGCAACATCCGTACGTTTTCACACAATGCTGGCTACCCTCTACTTATCTTTATCTCCCTTTCGACCGTCAGAAATTTCTATGATACCAGCAAAATCTCATATTTGTGAGAATATAATGTTCTTAAATATTGGTCTTATTTGTTTTCTTACTTCAGTTCTCCAACCACATTTATGATGACAAAAGCCACCCTTTTCATTGGACAATAAATATGAGGGTAATATATGTTTTATGAATTTGAAAAATGAATACCAAACAGACAACTATGACAGTTATTTTTAGCAGTTCTTTTTAGGGCTAATTCTAAAAAGAATTTTACCCACAAAATAAATTTTTTTATTTTACCATCTTTCTTTTGATACAATTCTTCCAAAAGTAAGTGTATAAGACAAACTCAGACTAACATTTATTTATTGATGTGTAAATATGCATACACCTGGGTTCCCCCTCACAGTAATATGATTGGCTGGTGTCAGCCATAAATACAGACGGATGTGGAGGTACATCACCTACGCTTAATGCCTACGACTATGATGAGTACCAGTCCATTACAGCTACCTGCTAGATTTCCCTACCTGGCTACAGTAGCCAAAATCACGTAGCTACTTCGAACAAATATGTCCCGGAAAGGGACATATCATTTATTCACAGATTTTAATTAATTATTCTTTTTAATTATGTTACACTACTAATAAAAAAACTTTTATATTGCAGCTTACTGATCATAAAATAACTGTATAGAGATATAATGCTATACACAAATAATTTTAGGTCATAGAATATTATCTTAAAAGCAGCCATTATAATGTATTAAATAAAATTTATACTTATGGAATTATAGCATTTTAACATGCATTTTAAAACTTATGCATATCAAACAATAAAATTTTGAAATCATTTTTAAGAATAAAGTATTGTGGAGTTTTTTTTTTTTTAATCAGTATCACTCCATGTAAGGTAGGAAAGCCACTAAGACACAAAGAGTTAAAGGGTGTAGAAGAATTAGGAACAGAAACATTAATAATGAGCAGGAAGTGGAAAGATTAATCAGGAGGACAGTAGATAGTGATTGACATTGCATTTAAATTTTTGAAGTTTAAAGTTGTCTGGAAAGTATGGAACTGGAAGGGAGTTTCACAAGCAAGAAGTGCAAGAAAAGAAACTGTTAGCATAGAATTTATGGTTACATCTAGCCAGCTCAACTGTAAACTGATGAGCTCTCAATGCCAGTCTAGTACTGCGCTTAAATTCAAAAAGTCTAGGTACCATAGTGAAGAGCACATCAGAACAATTACTACAAAAGTATTTATAGAAAAGACACAGAGAGACAACCTTATGGTGGTGGGCAAGTGACTAAAACTAAGCCACCAGATCAGGACCAAAAATATTGCTGATTCTGCTTTGGATTTTATCAAGGAGCTCAAGGTAAATAGCAGAAGCACCAGACCATATGTGACAGCAATTTTCTAAACATGGGTGAATGGTAGACTTATAGATATGTAAGATAGATTCTGGAGAGAAAAATAATCTTGCATAACACAGTGAACGAATTTTCTTAGCAGCTGACCTAGCAATGGATTCAATATAGTCTTTCCATTTCATGTCAGCTGAGAATGTTAGCATGAGAAAGCGCAGTGTCACTTTCCTGGAAGTTGGCAGCAGCAATGTTGATGGAAGGCAGAGAAGGGTCTCTCAGATGATTAATGGATAGAAGTTTAGTTTTGGGGGTGTTAAAATTAACCAGTCATCTTTTGCCCCAATTAACGATGGATATGAGATCATTTTGGACATTGGCTACCATTTTGACCTTGTCAGAATGATCAGCCTGTTCTTTTGAAAGGTTTATTTTCTTTTTTATAAATATAAATTGTATCCTTTTTGTGCAACAGAGTTCATAACTCACAGTATGTTGGAACAGAGAGAGAGAGTCCTCTTTCTGTCCTGATTAGCTCTTTGGTGTTTAGAGGAGTGGCTCAGCCTGTTTCACTTTCTGATGAAAAGATAGAGAGCAGTTTGGTTTATATTGGGGTTGAAAGTTGGTGGTGAGTGCTAGTAGGATTGTCCTTTGCTTTGGTACAGGGTTTTGAGCTTTTGTTTTGCTTATCCAAGTATCTGGTTTTAGAAATTAAGTTAGCCGGTTGACCTGTCCGTAAGAATGCTGGTGTTGATGTTAATGAGGTGTTAACCTTTAACACTCTGTATGTGACTTCATTTGCTGTGCAAAAAGTTTATCCTGCAACTAAAGGTAACTCTGATCCCTAGTTGTGTTGCCATATCCTGCAATGGCAGGAGAAACACCTTTGAGTGAAATTAACAATAAAGATAATGCAATTGAGAGGCCTTGAAAAAGAATGCAGTAGAAAGGGAAGTAATATTAATAATGCAGTGTGTTAAAGATTATTAGAGATGATTAATTAAGTAAGTAGGTTACCTTACAGATTGGTCCAAAAGTTTTGTCACCCCCTATCAAAAAGTAATGTAATGAGAATAATAAAAGAACAAGTAATACGAAACATTAGTGTAATGGATTCAGTTTATTCACTTTCATTGAAGCTGTCACACATCGAGAAGGTCTGTATGAACACCATCATTTTCGTATAGGAGCTCGTGTCAGCCATCTGAAATAGAAAAATTAATGTTTATGGACCATATGGATGATAAGACTTTCGGACCACCCTGTACTTTTCAAGAAATATTTTTATTTATTAAATTTGGCCTATTACTACAGTATAAATTCAAGAATAATAGTTGTTAAAATAAGTCACAGATAATGAGTTAATTTATAATTTAACTCTATGTATGAGTTTTTTTTAATTAGAAAGAAAAGAACACGATAGGTGTCCGTTCCTATCAACACGGTTTTTATTCGTAATGCACTCAGCTGTCGAGGAGGTATTTTTATTTTTTGAAAGCCTTGTTAAAAAAGAAAAAAGAAGGTAAATAAAATAAAATAAAAAAGAAAACACTCGCTTGTATAGGTGTAAAAAATAAATTAGCGGACAAAAAAGCGAGAGCGCCAAAAAAAAAAATTACAATTCATCATCATATAGTTCGCATATTTCGTACTTTTGCCAGAGGTCAGTGTCCGAGTTCAGGTAGAGAAAAAAAAAGAAAGAAAGAAAGAAAGAAAGAAAGAAAGAAAAAAAAGACCCTGAATGTGAGTGCTGAATTTATTTAAAGAACAGCAGACCCTCTTTCTTTATTTTAAAAAAAAAATTGACGGAACATAATCTTTACTTTAAGTATCCACCCCAACACTTTCTTTTTTTAACAATTTTATGAACTTGCGAAAATAAACATTTCTTTATGTAGTAAAAAATATTTGTTTTCAACATTATGTTTCTTCAGTTTTTTAATAATGTGAACTTAAAAAAGAAACTAAAAAAAGCCAAAAAAAAAAAAACATTAACCAATCATCACACAAATAAACAACAATTCCCGTCCTTTCCTAACTAACTTCCTTTTTCCGTCCCGTGGTAGATTATTTTTTAAGTTTCTTTTTATTTTAACTGACCCAATATTTCAGCTTACTCTTAGCTGTTGTACCAACTGAAGAAGTATTCATTTAAGAATCACGAAAAGTAAATTTGTCGATAACGTGGCTATCTTTCCCCTGCAAAAACTAAAAACATATCCATGGCTATTGCACGCCTGCGCATCTGCCGTCTTCTAGCGGCTTCTATAAGGTTGCAAAGCTGTCCTTCGTCTTTTTTTCACTCCTTGGACCTTCGCCATATCGTTAAAAAACGACTTTTGTCGTCTTTCATTTTATCCGAAGCTTCAGGTTTGACTTCAACTTATCGTCCGTTTTTCTTACGTGTTGGGTATTACAGCACTACCGACAACGCCCTTCTCCGCCAAAACAGCTTCGAAATCAGCAGCAGCAGCGGCGAGTCGGTATATAAAGCAATTCGAAGCTGGAATTCATCAAAAGCTTTCAGGTTGGGATATCGGGAAGCGAATATCTCAGTTTTTGGGCCGGCTTTGCTTTTACGCCATTTGTCAAGAAAACAGGATTTCTTGTTTTTATCATCATCTCTTCTAACCCAAGCTGCAACTATGTCGACTTACAGCATTGTAGAAAAAGGAACGTTGAATACCATGGACTACAGAATATATTTCAGTAAGTAAAAAAAAATACTATAAAGAAAATCAACTATAATTAAAAAAAAAAAAAAAAAATACGTTTTATTTTTATTATTATTAATTTTTTTTTTTTTTTTTTAAAATACTTGGCCAAAAAAATTGTCCATATAATTAATAATTATTTTTACCCTTGTGGGTGGATAATGTTGTGAAAGATTTAAAATATTTTAAAAATAAATAAAAATGTAATCGTGTACTGTAAATAAATGAAATAATATCGTGATGATTAAAAAATTTGAAAAATTGAAATGGTAAAAAAACTGAAAGAATTCAATGGAATTTTTTTTTATTAGGGATTTTCTTTTTTTTTTTTTTTTTTAATACATGCAAGTCGTGATTTTACGCGATTTTAGTTTATTTTAAAATTTTATTAGGTATTTGAATATATAAATTAAATTTAAATGAACTTTTCCTCGTATTCAAATGTATTAAGAAAAAATCGGTTACCGGCGTTTTGATTTTATTTTTTTTTTTTTTGTTCTTTTTTGACACTTAAAGTGATTATTTCCGTGGTAAATGTTTAAAAACTACTTCATCTAATTTAGACGCATTTTAAAGCTTTTTATTTGATTGTGCAAAAAAAAAAAAATACTTCATAAGGATCTTTTTCTTTTAATAATTTTTATTTCTTTTAATCTTTCTTCTATCTGTAAAATTTTTAGGAAATTTAAATTAAAGGTCTGAACTGAAGTAATGTCAACGTGTACACAGTAATCATTTGAAGACGTGGATTTTTAAGAAATAAGTTTGACGTTTTTTCACAAACTACCTTTTTTAAATTTAATTTGTTTCTCCATGTAAATAAAAAAAAAAACAAATATTGCATAGATTTTCTTTGCTCATGTCAAAAAAACAAAAGGGGGTAAAGTTGACCACGTGTTTTTTTTTTTTTTTTTTTTTACTTTACTCTGCTTTAAGTTTTTTAAAGTGATTGAAAAGTAGAATGCTTATTAAAGATGTCCTTCCGCAGAAATAGAACATAAAAAAAAATTAAGTCTTAATTTAAAAATATTCGGGAACTAAAAAAAAAAAAATATATTTTTGTCAGTTTCTCTTCTGAAATGACGACAAAAAAAAGTGGCAATTTCGTTCAAGTTTTTAAGCCTGGTCATAAAATCTTAACTTTTTTTTTTTGTGTCTTGGGAATCGAATACATGATTGAGTTCTGATCATTGATAGTTTTAATTACTTTTTTGTTTCTTTAGATTTCATTATTTGGCGCCACAAACCGGCATTTCAGTTTCATTTCTTCATGTTTCTTAAAATACAAGAGAAAAGTGAGACAACGTTTTATATTGTCATGGAAAAATTGTACTTAAACTTATTTGCCAAACTTTTTTTTTTTTTTTTTTTTTTTTAAAGCGCATTAGTCATTCACATTAAAATGAATTTAAAAAAAAACAAAACCTTAGTGAAAATAATGGCGCCTATGTAATTAAAACGTGGCAAGAAGCTTAAAAAAAATCTGTTCAAGTGTTTTATTAACAGGGAATTCATTTCGCATTTGGTCCTAAGTTTCAATTTCAATCTCTCGAAAGATCGGAAAACCGTATTCTTTCAATTAGTCATTTATCAAGACTAAAAAAACTCTACCAAATGGAAATGCCATTAAAATAATTTCTCACTACTAGTAGAGAAACTCTTACTTAAATTTAATCCACTGTTAGTGTTAAACCAATTCCAAAGAGTTAAACAATACATAGGGTCGGATTTAAAATCGTAATGTCGTAATGATTCGGAAGCGTGCCAATCATCACTCGACAAATGAGTTGGTTAATCTGATCGGTAAATAAATACCGTACGTGACGTAAATTATATCCAAGTAATAGAGCATGAAGGTAAATAAATACTGCCTGTAAAACTAAAATGTTCAGTTACATTACTGTTAGTGTTAAACTTTCATCTGGCCCACTCCTAAATGCACAGAAATTACTCTACCCCGAAAGCCGGCATAATCGGAAAACTTTTTAAAATACTAAACCAAAAAAAAATGGTGTTAAATTTGGCTCTTGTCAAATCAATCCACTTGTAAATTCCGTATCTACACCTCATAGGAACTAAAAAAAAAACTAAAAGCAACTGGGCTTGTGAACTGCATCCAGGATAAAACCTGGATTTTTATCTTATTTCTTTTTATTTTATCTTTTTTTATTTATTTAAACAGATGAGTATCCGTATAGAAGTTCATATGAAGCCGAATAAAGAAACTACTAACAACGAAAGCAGGGGAAGTTAAAACAAGTCTACTATAGTAGGGAAAATAAAGTGGAAAAGGGACCATTTTAAAAAAAAAAAAAAAAAAAAAAAGCAAACGGATGAATTGCTAAAACAAAACGCTAACCTTGACATATTGTGTAATAATTGTAAGACAATACAATAGTGTTTTAGTTTTTGTCTATCGATATCTCCCTGAATTTGCTTTTAAAAGTTTAAAACTGTTTAATTCATGTAAATATTTATGACTACAGTAGTATAGTATTTATTGCACTAAAAAAGCAATACCTTACTAAAATATTTCTTGGCATTTTGAACGTCGTGCGGGTTTACTTTTTTTTTTTTTTTTTTTTATTAAAGTGAAAATTTAGTTATAAAAATGATCAAAACTCTAAAATTTTCCCTTTACAGTGCAAAAATCTAATTCCTTATTCCTTCTGATTTTCCTTTTGAATTCGAATTAAATATTTTACAATTTCTAAAAAAAAAAAAAAATGACACATGAAGAAAACTAAAAGTTGTACAAATCTACGGGTACAAAAACAAATCAAGTTACAGCTGGGAATTTCTAAAACTCAGTTTTATAATTGATTTGCTTAGTTTATTATTCTTAAAATATAGCTTAGTTTTTAAAGCTATTAAAAGCGAAACCAGCATTTTCTCCTCCGCCTTCACAAATTCTGGGAAATGAAAGTGTCCGTGACGCACAGCAGGTAACTGATTAAAAAACGTGGCAATATTTCAGTGACTGAAGAATTGAATGAAATTTAATAGGGTAAGAACTTAAAAAAAAATGTCGTTATATTGTATGTAACACCTGATTAACTTTATGCAACCTCAAGATATCTGAAAATAACTTTTAGTATCCTAAACAAAATCTAATTTATTCATAATTCTCTCCCTCCAAGAAACAATGTATTAGAACTCTTAACAACCATGCTAATAAATAGGCAAGCTTTAATTTAAATAACTGAAAGCTGAGTGCTCCTTTAGGGTTACTGAATGGCGATGATGTAAATGACATTGCGTATTACGAAGATATGTAGGATAAACAATGGTTGATAAATGTTCTGATTCTAATGATCAGAGAAACGTCCACTCGAGAGTCTGTTCCACATTGCAACAGTTCTGGGGAAGAAATAGTCTGAGTGGAACATACACCTTACCAATGAAATATGAAAAGGGTAAAGTGTCTATTCTGTGTATGGAGACAAGTGGAATATCTGCTATGCAGTAGGGTAGCAAGAGGCTATTGTTTTTTTTTTTTTTCTCCTAAACCCTGAAAAACAATTAATCACCCACAAGGTCATAGCTGGAAAGTGAAGATTGGATAGTTCTAGCCCAGATGTACCAGCAAATCTCTATTTTTGGTCTGATCTGGCTCATGTAGAGATTGTAGTAGACCGTGGGTTTATTAAATTAGGAACTCCTGATAGAAAAGTCCACTACATGAATATGGTAGACTCAAAAATTGATCCACTGGAAAAAAAACAAAAAAAACAAACATATATATATATATATATATATATATATATAAAATTTACAATGGGCAAAGACGTCAACATTTGTTTGTGTGTGAATGTAAAGGACTTGTATTTTTGATGAATGTGTGGGTGTTTCATGGCGTTTTCCCACAAGTGAATAAAATGTAGAGATCGCATTTTTTAATGTCTGCTGAAATACAAAGTAAAAACAGGGCAAGAAATCAACCAGTATTTATAGTGTAGGAAGAGCATGTCCTAGTGAACAGTTATAGGTGCCTCCACGAGATCGCTAAAAAGAGAGCATAGCATGATGAAAAAGACGCCAAACTTGACGAAAACAAAATTTTATCGTCTAAATGTTTATTATTAAGAGGAAAGGTCAAAGTATTTTTGGGGTATTTTTTTCCATTTTTTAATCGTTCCTAGCACGTCCAAAATTTTCATTAAAAATCTAGTTTTTTTTGAGTCAGCAAAATTGACCATTTTTTTTTCCATTTTAAAAAAAACTGGAAATCTGACTTTGAAATTTTTTTAAATATCAATTATCATTTTTTCAAAACTTATTTTAAGAAAATCAGAAATTATGTTTATTTAAAATATTTTGAACTTAACTTAGCTTTTGTGCCAAAAAGATGTAATTTGAAAATAAAACAAAGCAGGTCATAAACTTTCGCATCTCTTGACATGTGATGAATGATATGTTTACGAATTCCATGAGGCTAGTTTGTTCTACGGAAGGAGAAAAGTGAAATAATTTACATTTACATGAACAAATTATTTACCCAGTTATTTTTAACGAAAACTTTCAGCGGTCTAATTTTTTTTTGTACTTAGCTTTCACCTTTACGTTTATGATGCTTTATGGGAAATATATTGTAAAGAAATTAAAATAAAACTGTTAAGAGTGACATTAAATTTCATATTTCTTAAGAAATAAATCTAATTAATTTATAGGTACCTTTCTTATGAAATTTTATCAATTTTACATAAAATACTATAATTTTATGTACATTTATTACATTCTACTGTTATTTATATTTGCATTCATTTTATTATTAATTTTGATATTTCATTTATGGAAAAATGTCGTAACTGAGATTAATATAAAAATAAGATCATATAAATTTCATATGATACTGATACTTGTAGGTACCCTTCTCAGTTGAAATTGAAAAATCAAATTAACTTCTCCACATTGTTTCGCAAAAGTAAAGGCCTTAACAGCGGAGAACAATGCTTAACTCAAATAACGCAACTTAATTATATTCTGGTTGGTCTTCCGTATTTTATAATTACATTTCTTAATTACTGGGTATCTTCTGATTAGTCAAAATGATACAATTTACAACGCGCTAAAAAAAAAAAAAGATCTATCTCATAAGGACACTTATGAAAGCCAATGCGGCTTTTAACTAATTTTATAATATTTTAACAACTTAAATGTAAAATCTATTATAATTAATGAAATAACAAATAATTATATTAAAAATTCATTTTTCATCGAAAAAATTTTTTTGCTTTCAGAAAATATTGTCCATATTCATAAAAACAACTAAAAGCAAATAAAAACATTTGAAATTAAATATCTTTGTTTTATTGAGTTTTGTATGTTACAATTCAGAGCTGATTTTCAGGTACTGCGTATCCAATTAAAAACAAAAAAACATGATTTGCATTCCTCAAAGGCCTGTGCTTTTAATTATTGTAATCACTAAAACCGATGCGATCAATTTCTAGCGTTTTCATAAAATTAGTTATGGGGGTAATAAATATTTTAAAAAAATATTTCTACCATGACTTTCATAAAAAAAACATTTATAATAATTTCGATCATCTGTGAATAGTTCCTGAAAGTTTCATTAACATCCGATAATTATTTCTATTTTTGCACGATTTTTCAAATTAATGTGTGTCATACCAAAAAAATGTGCTAAAAATTGTCTGTTATTTACTAGTTCCGCTGATACAAATAGAAAAAGATTTTTTAATCAAAATTTAGAATGTTCTAAAAGGAAATTTTTTTTAAAAATAACTAAAAAAACTTTGGTCTTTCCTCTTAATAATAACATAAGCATTTAGACAATAAAATTTTGTTTTCGGCAAGGTTGGCGTCTTTTTCATCAAGCTATGCTTTTTTTTTTTTTTTTTTTTTTTTTTTTTTTTTTAGCGATTTCGTGGAGGTACCTAAGTTAGGAAATAACTCCAACAAGATGAAGTATAACAGGAGTCATGTACTTGTGTAGTGCAGGAAGCTGATCATTTTTCCAATATTTTTTAGTGATAGTTTTACTTGATCTGATGTGAATTCCAGTTGGCCTTCCAGGCAAGGTGCCTCCTTGAGGGTACAGCTGTACATCATGATTGGAGAAAACTCAAGGTCTACATGATGATGAAATGTTAGTAACTTGGTTTTGGGAGGTATTGGAGCTTGGTATTGAATGTTACAAACCAGTTCCTACCTATTGATCCAGGGGTGAGATCAGCTGCCAGGTTCTGACCATCTAGATTTTTGTTGTCCTCTAAGCCATATTCTTTTGTGTGTGTATATATATATATATATATATATATATATATATATATACTCCTCTCTTTATCTAGACATATTTACCTTTCATTTATATAAAAGGTTTTCTTGATTTAATGTAATAACTACTTATTCTTTTTATGAATATTATAGAAAATCTATATAATTTTTTTCTTTATCAAAGGGGGAAAAGGATAAGTGTTTTATAGACGCTTTAAAGCCAATATAAACTTGGGACTTTTGTATTTGCAATAAAATTGTTTAAAGTGAAATTGCAACTCCTGAATTTGGCATGTGCATTACAACTAAGTCTTTGTCAGTTTCTGACAACTGTTAGAATGTGAGGGTCAGATGTTTTACATTTTTTATCTTTTTTATATACATGTATTCATTGAGTTAATATCCCAGTTTAACTGAAGACTTTTTTTTTTTTTCTATTGTCTGTAATCTTAATACCATCCATTAATTCCTCTGTTTATTTGCCAGCCTGTCTGGCTAGAGTGAACTGAAATTGTCTAGCTATTATTTGGTTGCAAGTCGAGCAAGTACTTTCTTTCAAAATGTACGTTTTACTTTCCATCTATTAATGATCTCCCATTGCCATAAACAATTGCATACACTCTAGTAAAATGTCTTCATTTTAGCATGTGCACATGTTAAAAGATTAATCAATCAATGCTTATTGGTCACTTGATGTGAAAGTGAGGCTAACCTTTTTTTCACCCTTCTATTTCCATAACTTTTTAAAAATTTTTTAATTTAAATTCTTCTTGCCTTGTTTGAAGATTAGAATATGCCAACTGGGAGTGTCCACTTACTGGGAGAGTACTTGCAGATGTGGGTATAAAGTGAATTTGTAGTGTAAACTGCTCCTATGTCTGGTTATTTATTAATTTGATTCCCACCCAACAAGACTTGTATTTTATCTTAAATAACCAACAAGTGTTGGTTATTAACCAACCAATGAACTAATTAAAATATCCAATCAAAATTGTTAATAAATTTCTTAATTGTTTATTGTAAACTTCATACATCTCCATACGTGTGTTTGTCTCTTAAGAATACTAGAAAGAACAATGCTAGAGATAAGTAGGAGAGAAAAAGGAGTCAACATTGATCCATTTTGATAAAAGGTAATATAGAAATGAGTAAATGACAAAATTGGAGATGGCTAAGGCACATAGCAAGAAGAAACAATGGATGGCAGAAAAAGTTATTTGATTGAAGCCCAATGAGTTGCAAGTAAGGACTGACAAAATAGTATGGTTGTCATGGAAGATATTGAGAAGGCCTTTTTCCTGTTGTGGACTAGCAATAGTTTATTGATATCATTTAATAACATCTTGATGCTATTACCTTGACTACAGTATTGTTTTTGCATTATAAAAATCTTCTATATCTGGAGACCTGCTTGCTGTATCTAATTGCAAATAGCTAAATGACTTCAATATCGATGTGTAGGAATGTTAACATAATCACTCATTTTACAATAATTAACTAATCCACCATTTTTATTTATTGAATATAATTGTAAATTTTTATGTTAGCAAACATTTTAGAAAAACATTTTTATTTGACTTTTTTTTTTTTTTTTTTTTTTTTTTTTAACACTATCTTGTGCTTATGAATTGTTTTCTGATTGTGAAAGGAAGAAATTTCTCTACAATTTTTCACAACTTTCATTTAAATGTTTTAATGGAGTCTTTATAAATATCAGATACTAAAAATATTAAATTCATCAGTGTTTACATTCTCTGCCCTTTTTTTTTTTTCTCTCTCTCTTGCTCTCCGTGCTGCAGGTGGTCCAAGTGGTGTCGTGTCTCCATTTCATGATATTCCATTGCATGCTGATTCATCCAAAACAGTATTCAACATGGTTGTAGAGATTCCACGTTGGACTAATCATAAAATGGAGGTAATTTTTAATCATACTCTTTACATATATATATATATATATATATATATATAGCAATCTAGTTGCAAAACGAGAATCGCCAATTCATGACATCCAATGTATTTGTCTCTTATCATATTCATTATTTTAGTGGCAGTTTTCCAAGATCATCTGCCTTTACAGTCATTCATTATAAACATCTGAGGAGGGGGGAATAGAAATATCTCTTTCTATATTTTAGTAAGATTCAAGTTAGGTAGATTTTGAACAAGCTCATCTAACTTCAAATGCATAAATATTTGATTTGAGTTTTGATTGGTTGAAATCTTTTTTTCTGGTATGCAAGAATGAGTCTCCAAGAAACTTCCAAACAAGAATAACAATATAAAAATTTACATGATCATAATTTCTTTAAAGTGTTTCTTAATATCTTGGTAATTTTTAAGGTTAGCTTTGTTTTTATAAAAAAAAACAAAACAAACCCTAATATTCTATAAAAATGTACATATCCCAAAATGCTCTAGTTTACAGTGCAAGCACACATCAAAGTAGTGAAATTTCTTTCCATTTCTATTGCTGATATTTTGTTTAGCTATTTTGATAAAATTAGTATGTAAACAATTTCATCTTTTCTTTCTAAAGATACAATTCTTTTTCATGCATGATAATTAGTTTTTTTATTTCAAATCGGTTTCAATTATGGCACTATTTTAATGACAAATAGGTATTTATTTTCTCTGCTGCTGCCCCGACCCAAAGTGATAATTTCATAGTGGTGTTTTTCAAATTAGTTGCACTTCAATTTGTCTGTTACACGTATCCAAATAGCTCCATTTTTAAATAGACATAAGTCAATTTGGTGGGTAAACCATAAGGTTTGAAGTTCTTTCACAAAAAGTTGAAAGCATTAGTGAATTTTACACTTTGTAGAACAATGTCTTATCTTTAATAATTGGTTGGTTTCATATTGTGCCCATAAATCAAAAAAGGTACTGTTCATATTATACAAAATTTGAGTTTGATGCATTGAAATTTGTATTGCTGATTGAATAAACATTGCCATTTTAAATCGGACTTGTTTCATTGATGGATATTATAGTTTGATTCTTTCATATTTTCTATAATGGCACATTTTAAAACTGTAAAGCAATTATTTTAATATGAATTAGTTTGGACAAAATAAAAACAATATTTTATCCAAACTGTCAGCTTGAATTGCTGTTGCCACAACTATTCTTATTTTCTTAAAAATAAACTGGATATATTTTTAGTGCTTTAAATTTTGCTCCTCATTTGTCCATAAAGAATTAGAAGTTTTTATTGGTCATTTGAAGTATCAATACAAAGATACTGAAGAATTTTCTCTTTAACAACCTAAAGTTAATTTGTAGTAAAAAAAAAATTACATAATTAAATAAGCTTTTAACTTTTTAAGACATTTTAAAAACCTTGCTACAATCACTCAATGGATCTCTATTCTTGACAACAAACAAAATCTGCTTAAAACATAGTGAAAATAACAGTAAACTCATGAGCTGTCATAACCACGGTAGTCTTTTAATGTTAATGCTAAAAAACTTTCGGTATGTTCATAATTGAATTTGACTCTATTTTATATATATATATATATATATATATATATATATATATATATATATATATAAGTGTAAAAAAAAAATTTTCTTAAACACCCTCAAAATTTAAATGTTAATATTTGAAAGTTGGAACTGATTTTAGAAAAAAACAAAACTACCCTTCATCACTTCACCGTTGATCAACCTCAAGGACAATCAGACTACAGCTTGGCTGGAAGCAAAATCAACAACTGAGTGGCAGTCAGTAGTTGACATTTCAAGAAAGCATGCAAAAAGTCTGTGACAAAGATACAAGCAACAAGTACTTCTGAAACTTCATGTACAGAAAAGGATTGCTAAGAATGAGTCAAAAGGAGAAAAGTGTTGTTGTTATTGAGAAACAGAATCATAAACTCCATCAGCAAGCATGATGGTTCTGTGACGTCTATTTAAGATGTATGAGCAGTGGTTTTGAAGCACTGAAAGATCAGTCTAGATATCTGTAGGTTCTCTTAGGTATCAAGATAAACACCAGTTGAAGTAAATCTCAGCTGAAAACTGCTCTTTGCCAAGTACTTAACAGGAAAATCAGTTGATTCATCTCCGCCTCTAAGATAAGCAAAGGAGAAAAGGCACTCGGTGATTCTGTCTAAAGAACTCTAGCAGTGTGACCTTTGCATTGGCCAAGTCATTGATATTGCTTTTATATGTGAGGTATTATAATTTAAAACTTTACAACAGATGAGAGATCTTCAAGGGTCAGTTCCTTTTGGTTATTTTCAGTTAATATTGCTAATACAAAATTTAACATTGAAGGCACATGAGGAAGGAAATGCATTAAAAATTATTACTGTTACCCTGAAGTCTTTTTTTTTTTTTTTTTTTTTTAATCCTCTCCTGTTGGCATGTGTAAGGGTTGCCTCTCCTATGAGTTTGACCTGATGTTGTAAACAGATTTTGCCCCTTTCTTGGTACTGTATAGATGGTGGGAAATAGATATTGTCCTCTGATTGTTGCCTTACAATATACAGATGGTCTTGAACCCTTAAATTGGTTATCAATGGATCCAGAAAAGCAAGTTTTTATACTTTTTCCCTTAACTAACTTGATTTCACATGATCCAGCAATATTTGCACATTGTCCTGGTGGGGCTGGTGTACGTGGATTTCATCTATATATCTAAATCACATGGTTGGCTTTAGTGGTGATGTTTCTGTAACCATTTCTATAAAGTGTTTAATCTATATTTTTCCATTTACTGGAGTTAATGGCAATTTCATAGCTACACCACCTTGTCAATATGTCTGAACCCAACTTTGTATATTGTTTGCTGTACACACAATATCAGCATCTCTATTAGGTTATCTATCTCTGAGAGATCTGATTGATTCTAATTTGTCTTTAACCACCAAAAGAATACAAACATAGATGAATAAGAATGGTGAGTATAGTTATAGGGAATATCTCCTTAGCATAGAGGGAGGAATGAAAACCATTTGCAGCTGTGGATTGAATAAAGTGTCTGGTTCAAAATTCTGAGAGTATTACTGAATACAATGACATGCTGGAACAAGGCCATTGATAAGCATGCTGGTCAGGGTAGCAGGGAATGTAATAATTCCTCATCTAAAATATTTCTGATAAACTAACTGTATATCCAGTTGCTACTTTGCTAACAGTAAGCATTCTTGTGTTGCTGAAGCTGTAAATTGAAAGATTAGGCCATTATTTCCTCTTATTTTTCTAATTTCTCCATTTGTATTTTCACTTTAAGAAAATTGATTTTTTTTTTTTTTTTTTTTTTTTTTGTACTTTCCACAACAAATTTATTAACTTGTATATGTCAGATTGCTGTTTGTTGCAAAAATTTTTTTAAATATTTCATTTTTATCACAAACCAGTGATGCTTTGAATACCATTCATTACTTCTGTATCCCTTTTTTTTTTTTTTTTTTTTTTATGTAGACTTGAAATGTAACTGAATAAAATCTAGTAAAATGTGAGCTACATTCAGTGTTGCACAATAATAAGATTAACTACTTAATGTGTGTGAAAATGTCTCTTTAGGATGTTATTGCTTAAACTTTAGAAGGATCTTCATTTCTTGTATTTTATTTTTATTTTAAACTTAGTTGATAAGTCTGTTTTAATACTGACAGTTGGCCATAATATCTGTGCCTATCTAGTATGAAAACTACACATTTACTTTTTGAACAGTTTTTCTTTTGACTTGAATCTTACCAGCAAATGAAACTTTGATCCATTATATTTGACATTAGTTATTAAATTGCTTCTCTTTTGATGAGTAATGCTGGTATGTGTTGTTAACTTAGTCCATTTCCTTGCTAAAACCAGTTAGTTTCCTATCATGATCTAAATTTCTGGATTTTACCAAGTCACTAGTTAGCCTAAGAATTAATTGCAATTAAAATCTTTGTTTGGACTACCTTTTCAGATTTGCAAAGAAGACAAATTAAATCCTATTAAACAAGATGTTAAAAAAGGAAAAGTTAGGTTTGTGAAGAATCTTTTCCCTCATCATGGTTATATTTGGAACTATGGCGCTTTTCCTCAGGTAAGTTTTTTTTTTTTTTTTTTTTTTTTTTTTTATGCAAATGTATATTTAATGGGTGAAATATTGGATATTAAAAATTAGTCCTTCATTAACAAATGCATTTCGGTTTTTGTTTATATTCTTGCCAAGTAGAATGTTAAGAATTGTTAAGTATTTCCACTTTTTTACCTTTTGTGTTGCTGATTGACTTTCAAATTTATGCAAAGATTTATTCCAACAAAATTTTAATTAGGTTGAATTTTAATAAAGAATTTTTTCTCTTAAACATTTTTTTTTTTAACATTCTAAAGAGAATTTTTATAAACATATTCAAATCCTGTAACTCTGAGATGTGCCCTTTGATTTCTTTTCTATAATTTAAATATCTCCTGCTCTTGTGAAATATTTACATTTAAATCTTTTTAATGTTATTGAACAAAATATAACAAATTAAAAAAAAAAAATGTAACCAATAAAAATCATTTGACTCTTACATGTGAAAGAATGCTAAGCATTTGATGTCATAGCTTATTTGTCTTGCACTGTTAATTCTGGATAGATTGTAATTTTGTGCTTTTCTAGCGCAAGTGTAGCCATGTGCTTCTATTGACATTTTGACTAGTAGCTTCTAAAATTCAGTAAATTCCTAAAACTTAACATCTATAATGAAATGTCTTTGCTTCATAAATGTGTGTTTTTTGTTTTTTTTTGTTTTTTTTGTCACTTGGTTGAAACTTTGCTTAGGAAAATTAGAGATAGATTTATAATACGTTCTGAATTTTGCTGGTTTCATTAAACTGCAAAACAAAACTACATTGTAATATTTAATTTCAAATGCCTTGTGTTCACAATTCTAGTATTATATAAATATAGGCCTACATGTATTAATGGATGCTTTATAAACATGAAAAACTTTTTTTTTTTTTTTTTTTTTTTTCTAGGTGAAAGATATATAAAAAATTTAAGAAATCTAACATTTGTGTATGTGGCCTAATTCTCTTTCCATCATTGATACTTTTCACCCAGTGACTTTTGGGGTTGATACGGGTCACTGTTGCCAAAATAGCCCGTCCACTATTGATGTACTTAGTGTTGTTATTGCAATGTTTTATAAGAAAATAGTTTTTCTTGGCAAATAGCAATAAAACCTGTAAGGCCACTTCACTTAAACTTTCTTTCTCTCTCCCTCCCCCATACACATTTGCTAAATTATTTAAGTTGTTTAATAATATTTGATCAGTTCCTATTGCAGCTATTTGTATAAATTTGGCATTTGAGTGTATAAATTGCTTTTGAGTGGATGATCTCAAGATTTTATAATCATTAATCTTGACATTTGTTTCTGCCCAGCTCACTAGTAAATTTTTTTTTTTTTTTTTTTTTTTTTTTTTTTTTTTTTTTTTTTAGAAATATGAATTTTCCAAACCAGCCATGTTTATAAAAACTCTCTTTGGGAGTAAAGTTTCCTTTTTTTTTATTTAAAAAGGAAGAAAAAAAAATTTTTTTCTTCTCATCTCTGAGATGAGGTATTTCACTATTTGGACTATTGTCCTAATCTTTGTTGCCATATTTATTACAACATTTCGGCCTTCTTCAGGTGGTTGGAATGTTGAACTGAACCCATTATTTGGCTCACTGGGGGAGACTGCCATGTCTAATGGATCTCCTGTTAATTCTCCAAGTTCTCCACAGCATAAACCAGGTATTGAAACTCGCACTCTTGGGTCCTGTCACTGGATCTAACTGACACCTTTATCCACTGTGCCATGTGTTCTTGAGGATATCTGTGTATGAATTTTTGGGTACTATAAACCTCATGTCTTCAGCAACCATTTTATACCAGTTCTCATATTGCAATTTTTGCTGTTATTTTGTTATTGCTTTTCTCTTGCACTCCTTATTACTGGTTCTCATATTGTATTCATTTCTATTCTTGGTCAGCTCGGGAGATTTTTTTTTTTTTTTTTTTTTTGTGGTCTAGCATATGTGCTGATTCCTTAAGTTTACGAATTTTCCAATGATGTTCTTTGCCTATGATCTCAACCTGATCCCACGGAGGGCGGTGATCTGCCTTTTCTCTCTCGATATGTGGTCAGACATGCCTCATTTTTCCACTTCCCCTCATATTACAGGTTGTTTCTGGTGTTCTTGAAGCCTTACCATAAGGGGGCGGCCTGCCCCCCCCCATTTCTTTCTGCAGCTGCACGGGGTAGTGTACAGTCTTTAGAGATGTTCTCCTCTGTGGGTGGGGGTCTTACTTGGCAGATATATCTGCAAAGTGTTGTCCCGCTTTTGAACATTTGTCCTGATGTTATATGGACCGCAGATACTTTGTATTTTCTCTGATAACCCCTTCACATAAGGCAGGCAGGCTGTTTTCTGAGTGTTATCCTCCTCCTTGTACCTGCCTATCCCAGTTTTTTTGGGCTGCTGCCATGTACCCAGGGTAGTTATGTTGTAGGGTACTACTTATACTGACCAATTCTTTAATGTCTGTGGGTTGCCACTTATGACTTTTGCTCGGTGTTGTAAGAAGTGGACGATCCCTTTATGCTGTATGGATGGTGGGAGTTGAAATTGAGGTACTGTTTCTGGTATATGGATGTCTTGAACCCATGTTCTGTTCGAGATATTAGGACACCTAGCATAGTGGATAAAGGCGTTAGTTAGTGATAGTGATCCAAAGAGTGTGAGTTCAATACCTGGTTAAGGCGGTGGAGAACTTGGAGAGGGGAATTAACAGGAGATAACTGATATCGATTAGACATGGCACATGGAACTAGAACAGTGTACCCCAGCGAGTGAAATAAAGGGTTCAGTTCGACATTCCAACTACCTGAAGAAGGCCGGAGCATACAACAGCCTAAACATGGTGACAAAGATGAGGACAATTGTCCAAATTATATAGATATCTATGTATTTCTCTAAAAATTTCTTGGACATTCAGGCCGGTAAATGTTAATAGTGTTTATTATAAACAGAGCATTTACTTAAACATTTGTATCTATAAAAAGAACATACAAACATAAAGACTTGTTTTATTTATATGAAAACAGTCTTCCATGTACAGGGAATTAATACAACATAATTCAGTACTTGCCTATGGGGGATGTATATTATTTGAAAACTGAAATTTCAAAGTGTATTACAAGTTGGTTAATCAAATTTGCTCCTGTTTTTATTTATAGTATCTGCATTCTGCCCAGGATCATTGCGGGCATCTGCATGCTCTAGTGTTATTAATATATATCTTCACTGATATGCACATTACTAAAAGTAGATTTTCTTAATTTTAATACTAATTAGCTATAGTAAAAAGCTGAAAACTGTTTGTAAATAATTAATGGATTTCTTTTAATTTGACATTAGTTAAAACCTAACATTTTATTTGAAATAGATATTCCATTTTTATTAGTGTGTAATGTCTATCTGCTGATGCTCTCGAGTAATCTAAGTAAAGAAAATGTCATGGTGGGGTGTGCAAGTTTTATCCCTGCTGGAGGACGCATGTTCTTTACATAGATTCTTTAAGAGCACAAGCCAATAGATGTATTACACACTATTCAATAAATAAAAATGGGGTGTCTATTATTTGAAGTTTTTTTTTTTTTTTTTTTTTTTTTCTCTTTAACATTTCAACAGATATATTTACCAAGCTTACACAAAAATATCTTTAAGTAAATTTATTCAATAAAATCGCCATTGGCTTCAGCCACGGCCTTCAGATTTCAGAATCTCTTGCAACTCTTCTGGATGGTCTCCTTATTTAAGTTAGTGAATTCTACCATAATCCTTGCCTTCAGTTCATCTGTTACAAGGTGTTTTGTTGGTCTCCTGATCAACCATTCCTCATGCATGATAATCAAGGGGGTTGCAGTCTGGCCAAATGTTAGGGGTAATGTGGTTGTGGAAGTTGTTTGATGGCCATCTTGACCCAGGGCAGCACTACCTCCTCAAGGCACTTGATCTAAGCTTCATTGTTGAGTCTGAGTCCCTGTGGTAAGATAAATGGACGACTAATGTCGTGATCACTCCAAAAACCTTCATAATCACCATTAGACTCCAACTCTTTCTGAATCTTCTGCACTGTCCTCAGATTGACACCCAAACCCTCTGAAATATTTGTATTGGAGTTTCCGATGTGAATCTCGAGCAGTACAACATGCCATTTCCAAATTTTTGGCAGATTGAATTGCATCATGGTGCTCTTTTTCTCACAGTACCCAACTGACCCTACTATACTATGCTTTTGACAAAATCAAATGCGTAAAATTAAAATGATTTTCCCATCTCACTGTTTGGGGGGGGGTATTTCATTTCACCCTAAGCAACACAAAGCCACTAAGGTGAAAGGGGTTACTACTGGCTGTTAGAGAATATGAAAAAGAAAAAAACTATTAATGAGATAATAGATAACACCTGATGTTGCATTTAAATTTTTGAAGATCAAAGTTGACTGAGAAGGAAGAAGTGTGAAAGAAGAAACTGTTAGCATAGAAGTTATGGTTACATCTAACCACTTCATCAGTAAAATGACAAAACCTTACTGCCAATGTAGTACTGTAAATTCTGTAACATAGAGCAATTGCCATGAAAGTATTTATAGAAAAGGCACAGGAAACACACACATCAGCTGATGTTTTCACCTTGTATATTGAAGAAAGTCTTGATTGAAAACGATTTTGTTTTTATTACTGATGTCTGCCATTTTCATTTTAATCTGCCATTTATTTCCAAGTACCTGAAAATTCAGATTGATTCTATTTAACTACCAAATTGTGTTACTTGATATAACATGTTGGTGCCAATCAGTTTTATCTCATTTTAATAGTCAGTCTGATACTGTTGCTGATAATTTTCACTTCCAAATTTACATTGCCTCGTCCTGATTATGACTTAGTAATGTTATCTTAAAGCTGTATTAGATACCACCACTTGGAACTAATGTTCACACACTTCACTGCAATATCCTTACACTTATTTTTCATTGTTTACCTTTTTGTTTCTTTAATTAAATGAACTGATAATTGTGCTTAAATTACATATTGCACTTATTACATCTATATTTTGATTCCTGTATTTTAAATAAAAAGGTTTGAAGAACTGTAGTAATAATGCAGTAATGTTGACCACAAAATCTTGAGTCAAAATCTGACAACTTAGATGACGTTTAAAAAATTCACTTAATAAACCGTTCACTGCTTAAAAGGTGGGGGGAATCTTATATGCTATCAAATACAAAAAGTATTCAGTTACATTTTTCACTCCAACATGAATAGCAACAGGACTTAATGTGTATTTTTTACCTTAATGTTTTATGGCAAATAATTGAAGACGTTTTAAGTATTCAGTAATATAAAAAATTTAAGATATTCACCATAATGTAATGTTTTGAATTTTAGAATTTTGGTTTCAAATTTACTGTAGCTTTTGCTCTTATTTTCTGATAATGTTGTGTATTCTGATGTACAAAAATTGGCATGTTTATACACATAGAACAATTCAAAATTCTTAAATATTCAGGGTTTTCAGATTGTAATAAGCTTTGATCTGTGATTAGTAAATATCGATTTACTTAATAACAATATTCCTTAAAACTTACACTGCTGAATTTTTTTAAAAATTCTTAAATTTATAAATTTTTCTAATTAGAATAGTAAAATAGTTTTTTTTTTTTTTTTTTTATATATATATATATATAATGACGGTATTGTCCTTAATATATATTTATAAAAGCAATGAAAAGCTTTTCTAATCTCTTAGATTTATTGTTTTTTTATTTTACAATTCAGAACTGATTTTTGGGAAGGCATTGTAAAATTTTACAAAAAGAAATAGATTTAATTTCTACAAAGTTTTGCTTTTAACTAATATTCACTAAAAATTTTTGAATTTCTCAAGTCTTCATAAAAATAAGTGGGAGTGAAAAACTGGTAAAAATTATAATATTTAAAAACACATTCCTGTTGGCCTTCACAATACAGGAAAATACTTTACAACACCAATATATTACACCACGAAAATAATAAACAAAAACTTCAAATTCTCAAGGCTCTCTATATCAAATGCAACCAATCAACACTGAACAATTTATTATGAGTGAAGTAATGTATAAGAATGCATTTGACTTGGCACCATGTTGCGATTTATCATCTCTAGTTATGCATCTTGTATTGGGAACGCTTGTTTACAAAACATAACATTTGAGATTTGCAAGAATATCCAAATTAATGTCTCTTTCACCGCAAAAAAAATATTAAAATTTGCTGTGCTAATTTATAGTCCATCCACTGGGACAAGTAAAAAAAAAAAAAAAAATTTCAAATGTCCTAAAAAGGATTAAAAAATTTAATCAAATATTTAAATTCTTTGATCTTCCCTTGTAAACAAAGATTGTTACAAAAATTTTGGTGTGCTTTTCTTTAAATTGCTGTATACTAATTTCTTTAGCAAATGTGTGGAGGTACCTAATATTAACTATTGCCACAAATTTTTTTTGCTATTTTTTTTATAGCAAAATGAAAGCTTTTTAGCTTGTAATTATGAAACCTGTTTTGGCTTGTAGACATGGGAAGATCCTAACCACACTGAGCCAGAAACAAATACAAAAGGAGATTCTGATCCACTTGATGTTTGTGAAATAGGATCCAAGGTAAATGATTCTCTTAAACCTAATCTACTCTTTATCAAATTTTGTTTGCATTTATTTTTAATTCCTAGCTTCAGTTTAAGATGAAGAAAATGAACTTTATCAACAACCACCAGTTCTTTTTTGCAAACATTGAAAAATATGCTGACACTAAGATGTAGTGTCAAAATGACTTTTTTTTTTTTTTTTTTTGAAAAGCAATGATTAGAATTTTTTTTTTTTTTTTTTTTTTTTTTTTTTTTTTTTTTTTTTTTGAAAAGCAATGATTAGAATTGGAATAAAACCAAAATATATGATGAAAGTGAATTTAGTTTTTTTTTTTTTTTTTTTTTTTTATTAAATTTCCAACAAATACACTAATTAGTTTATTTACAAGAATTTTATATTTACATCAATCTAAAAACTAATACAGTTACAACTAATGCAATATTTATCCTTTACCAATGTGAAAACAATTTTTATTCATAAACATTTACAAAAATAAAAATGTAAAGCAATTATAAGGAAATCTGTATTTACTATTAAAGTTTAAATCAATTGGGAGTTAGCTGATGTTTTGACAACCATTCCAAAAAATATTGCGTTTATTATTTTTATTGTCAATTCTCAAGAACAAAAGAAAATGTATTATTCACTTTCATATATTTTGATTTTATGACAATTTTAATCATCACTTTTTAAAATAAAACAATTAAACCTAACAAAGATTGAAGGTAGTTTTTAATAAAGATATGTTTCCTGTCAGCAAAACATTTATGATGTCCAGAGTTGCCTTGTTTGTATTCCTACTGTTGTGGGTTGTTTGTTTTTGTTTTTAAATCCTTAAGGTTTTTTAAAAAAAATTAGATCAAGTGTAAGTAGAAAAAAATATAGTTGATTAAATTTATAGATTTTTTTTTTTTTTTTTTTTTTTTTGTGCATGTCCCTGAAATCTTAAATGAATTTCAACTTAAAATAGACAAATATGGCTTCTTTAATAATTACTTTAATACTGTTGATATTAAAAGCAAGGATATTGTGTAATTTTATACAATGCAAAGGTTAAATGATTTTCTTTTCCTATGTAATTAGTGTGAAACAATTATTGGCATAACAGATGTTATTTATGTTTTCTGAAACATTTTTTTTTAATTGTAGTTGATTGCTGGGTAATTATAAACTTTCCTCAATCAGTTTGGCATGCTTATGTACCTTTTTTAAAGTAAACAGTTATGATAGGACATAAAATGCTGTAAAAATGGTTCATTTTAAGAGGGTATTGAAAAGTCCTTAGCAAATTTGATATTTAGTCAGGTTTTGGGGATTGGATTTGGTGAGGCTGAAGAAGACTTTTCTGCTCCATCTCCCACTTTATTTTATTTTTTTTAATTTCCCTTGGTACCTGTGATAATTTATCACAATCATTTATTGACCAGTTAAAATGTTAAACTGTCTTCACAATTTGTTTAATAGGATGAGCCTTGACCTTTTGAGGCTAATCTTTCATCAATACACATTTGTAAGATTTGTACTTGTTTAGTCAATTTGGGGAAAGTTTTATCAGTTTACTTTTTACTTGGCTATTACAGCCAAGAACAGTAGAGAATAATTTTTTAATTTATATAAACCAATTAATCCAATTTTCAAGTTAAGAGAACCTTTTACCAAAAATACCCCCCCCCACCTTTGCACCTTTAAAAATGTTACCCTTCCTTCAAAATGCTACATGTATACATACTGAATCTGATTAATCAGTTTTCTGAAACTTTTTTGCTACATCTCTTGAATGATTATTTAAAATATAAACAGAAAATTCTTTACTGTTTTTGTGTTTTGTTGATTGGAGTGCAGTTGACTTTCCAGTGAACTTGTTTCTATAGTTGTAAATTGGCAAATTTTCTGTTACTGTGAATTGGTGAAATTGAATTTTCTTGTGTGTAAATGTTGCTTTTTATTTTTCATATTGGTTATTTGCAATACATTTAAATGTTACTTTTTCTTTTTATGAGTAAATTTTTCAAGAACTTAAATATTCTGCAGTTTGTTTTTAATATATAATGAAATTTTCATTTTTTATTGGTCTTATTTATTGGTTTAAAATGATTGAAATTATTAAAGTTTCTTTTGCTTGTTTTTATTTGTATGGTTTCGCCACCAAAATGCTTAGTATTTGAAAGTGAGATTTGTAAAAGATGTTAACAATTGGTTTTATCTTCCTTCATTAACACTAACTTCTCATTTGATTTATGCTTTCCTTTTTGTTATGTGTGCACAGATCCACAAAAGAGGAGCAGTTATTCAAGTAAAAGTTGTGGGTATCATGTGCCTTATTGATGAAGGTAATTGTTTTGCATTTCTTATTACTATTTCCCAATGCTCCAAATTCATTCTTTATTTTAAATAACCTTTGATGTCCTGATCAGTTTTGCTGCAAGGAAACATTTCTGGTGCAAAATTGATCTATTTAAAATCCCATCTGTTCCAAGGCCTTCAACAGCTGGTGATAAATTACAAAGGTATGTTCTATGGTGGAAATTTTATCTTAAGCAAAACTGCCATTATGTTTTTGATGTGAGGATATACAGAGAAGATAAATTAGTTAGGTTGTGTCTTTACTAAATTCATACCTTACACTTTTCTGAAATAGATTCACAATCATGTGGCTTTATGATTGTGACACCCACATAGAAGATTGATATTTTTTCTTTTTATCTCTCAAGCTGAAGTGGTTGTATTTTATAGCCAGCATATAGGGATTTTTGATGTTGAGTCTTCTGAATGGCACTCACTTGACCAAAGGGAATAGAAGAAAATGAGTGGATAAGGGCTTTTGAGCTCAAGTCACAAGCTGGACATTGGTTGCTGGTCCATCTTAAGTCATGGTTGGGGTGGAAAAGTTAACTATGGTCCAATTTTATATTGGAAACCTGGTCTGTGTTCTCCTTCTTTGATGACATTTATTTTCATCCTCCATTAACTTGAGAATGTGCAGCAGGCTTTTCCTAGTTTTCAGTAAAACCTAACACTGATGAGAATTGAAATATAACAATTATTGGCAATCAAAAAGCTGAGTAAAGGGACTCTTGTGTTGGCAATCATTCCTGACAAGAAGCTTTGAAACTAAAATTGAATCTTATCATTTTCAATCTTATTTGTGCTATCTGTTCAGTTTTTATATATCGTTAGTAATATTCTTTTAATATCTTTTTTTCTTGTAATTATCTTTGTAATTGTCTCTCCTGTCTGGATTTCAGGAGAAACTGACTGGAAGGTTCTTGCTATTGATGTAACAGATCCTTTAGCCAATGAAATTAATGGTAAGTTCATATTTATTCAACCATTTTTGTGAATATGCACATCAACCAATCTGCAAAATATATTCTTAACCTCAGTGGGGGGAAAATACCGATGATTGCTTTTTTTTGTTGTTGCAAAATATGCTTTACTCCAAATTGCAATAATGGAACAAAGTAAAATAAGATTTATTCTGCAATAAGGTAAATGCTATCACTAGGGTCTCATAAAACTTATAACTTCAATACTTACTGGCAATTGAAATTGGCTTTATTTTTATTATTAGATGTTGAGGACATTGAAAAGAAAATGCCTGGATTTTTAAAGGTAAGATGGTTTTTCACAAAGAATTTATTTAATCTTGTATAGAATATTTAAAAAAAAAAAACAAACCCTCTTGTAATTTCCTGTAATAAAAATTGTTTACAGGTGTTCTGTTGAAACTATAAGATGTCAAGAAAAAAGTCTGTTTTATTCTAGTTAACTTGCCCCTTTCATTTTATCATATGAATGCACTTTGATACTTTTCTCTTCTCTCCACAATCCTCTATCAGAATATTTATAAATTCATCATTGACTGATGTAGACTTATTGTAGTAATTAATTTTCTTTGCTAAATTATTAATATTCTATTTTGGAGAGTTAAAAGCATTTGTTACTGTCCTTCTGAAATTAAAACATTTAGTAATGCTAAACCAGGTGAAGAACATTAGGGTAACTACCAAATTTTCCAAGTGGGAGGAATTGGAACATCAATCTCTAGTATCATCAGTGAAGATGTTTGCTAACAATTGTGCTGTGCTAAGTTTCCAGATATTTAAAATTTTCTGTTATTTTAGGATGATGAAAAGTAAATTATTTTTCTTTTTCTTTAATTGCAGGCCACATATGAATGGTTTCGATATTACAAAGTGCCTGACGGAAAACCAGAGAATCAATTTGCCTTCAATGGTGAAGCTAAAAACAAAGTGAGGTCTTAAGAGTTTTTTTTTTTTTTTTTTTTTTTTGTTCTCCACAAAAACAAAATACAGTATTTGAATGTGATTTAAAAATTGTGCTGATTATGATAGTAAATGGTGGTATGGTTGTTTTGTGATGGTGCTCTTGTTTCCCTTGGTCAACTTTTAAGTTGTTGTGTTTTTTTTTTTTTTTTGTATGTGTGTGAGAGATGTAGAGAATCTCCCTGCTGATTTAACTATTTAATGTTTTACAATTTGTTCTTAAAGATTCAATTTTCATTATATGCAATTTTAACATTGAAAAGTAGAAATGTTTTAGGGATAATTGTGAGTGCACGTGCACTTTGGCAGGGTGTTAATATTAATAATTGAAGAACTATGCTTACAAATAGTAATTGTCACTGTAAAATTTCTTGACTTAACAGAAAAAAAACTGTAAAGCTTTTTTTCCTGCATGTTTGAGGACTATTAAAACTTTCCCAACTGTGCTCACTAAGTACTTTGACTGTATACAAAATGCTTTGGCCATTTGCTGTGAACAAACACTTAAGTATGAGGAAAGAAAAAAATTAGTTTAAAAAAAAAACAAAACTTGTCACCCTATTTGATTGCTTTTAGAATTTTTAAGTTGATAGCAACTCACTCCTTTCCTCTTATCTAGGGGCCCTGTTTTTTGTGTTTAATACCATGTCTGCTGGGCTACTTTTCCTGGTAGTCAATTCTCTTTTGCTTGAAGCAAGATGTATTGCGTGGCTAATATTTGTTATAAGATTTTACAATTAAACAAACTTGTGAGTTGTGTTGAGATTAATGGATAACATGAAGTGTTTTTTGTTAGTTTTGTCTGTAAAGTATTTGCTTTATCCAAACAATATCTTTTGAAAAGTATATTTTCCAGGTTTGTTTTTGCTATCTTTCTCCAGAGAACAAAGGGCATGCTCTAGTCTACACTTGCAATCAATCTTGCCAAACACAGAGGGGTGTAATACTGTTCTCTTATTTTCTTTCAGGCATATGCTCTAAAAGTAGTTGAAGAGACTCACAAGCAATGGCAGAATCTGATGAACAAGACTGTGGATGCTGCTGGAATCAGTTGGTAAGATTATCTTCATCTGTGTTTTGGTGTGTGTGTAAATCTGATGATAGAATTTATTTTCACTCCTTAATTGTGTATATTGTAATATCTGTAAAATATTATCAATTTAAAACATTTTCAGTGAAAATACTACAGTTGGTGGTAGTCCATACAAGTTTGGAGTGGAAGAAGCAAAGACCATTGTTGAAAATGTGAGTATTACAATTTGTGTACAGTGGAGATCTAGAAGTTATAAAAACTCGTATTACTAAACTTTATCAAGCCTGCTTCTGTGTGACTGTTATGGTCGTAATTTAACTAAGAAATATGTCTGACCATTTGTTAGCCCTGAATGATTTAAAATAAAAATGATCACATATCGGCAAGGTAATCTTGCTTAGTAATATTTTGTTATTGGAATACCTGGACATGATTATATTTATCCTTTCTCAACTTACAACCTGTTGGGTGGTGCTGTTGAGGGTGGCAACCTGTGATGGCTGAGGAAGGATTCTGGTAGTTGAGGACTTCTGGAGTAAGGTAGAATGCTCTTTAATTTAAACACGCTGCTCATCTGGATCACAAACATCATGAATGATTGAAACGTGAAAACCTCTAAAGAAATCTGATATGTAAATAAGTGAAGCCCCTTTAAAACTCAGAAGAAATAAGTTAGCCTTTCAATGCTACACAAAACATTAAATCATGCCTAAGTAACCTGACGGGAACCCCCACCTTTTTAACAGTAATTATAAAACAGTATTCAATGAAAGAAATATTTGAATTCACCACACCAAAGTGCTCTTCAATGTAAGAGCTTAAAACATTAGACGGTGTTAGTAAGATGTGCAGTTATTTTTGATAATGCCACAATTAAAAAAGAAAAAAAAAACATCCACAAAGAAACATCTCCCAAATGAATCCTCCATATTTAGTGCAGTAGCCTGAGAGAGATATAGGCATCACTGTGATCACCAAAGAAAAATGTTCAAAATTTATCACCTTTTCTGTATCCGTATTAATATCTATAAAAAAAAAAACAAGCTGGGAAACCCTTTAATAGTAAAAAAAAAAAAAAATGGTGATCAATGGTGGATCTCTGTTCATCCAGATTCCTAGCCATGTAGGAAGTAAGAGTAATAGCAGATATAAGTGCAAAAAGGATTAATACTAGTTCCTGAAAATTGCAAGAACAATCATACTAACCTTCACAAAAAACCCTGCCATTATGGAAAATGCTGAAGTGAAGAGGTTACTATAACAACTACAAATAGTTCACACTAAAATTACTCGTTCCTTTCTTACTGAAATGAGACCTACCATTGTCCTACATGCCAAATACAGTTATAACATTCTCCCCTGATTTCAATCAGTTGGTTTATATTTAGGGGAGACTGACAAATATTTTTTTTTTTAAATTAAAAGTAAATAAGTGATATACTGTAAATTTTGTATGTCTAAAAATGATGTATAGAACACTTAAATACTCTTCTCATTTCAGGCACCTGCACCTGGTACAGCTGCAGATTTGCCAAGTGATGGTGAGTTTCTTGACTTTCAATAATACTCCTTTTTCCTGTTAAGGAGCGGTTAAGAAAATTCTTATCAACCTAGATTCATTAGACTAAGAAAGTTAATCTTCTGTGTTTGATACCATTTTCTTTTCCTGCTTATCAAAACATACCATTGTCTTTAAAATGTTTTCATTATTGCTTTTTCTTTTCTTTTCAGTTGACCAGTGGCATTATATAAGCAAGTAAGCCCAATGCTGAGTGGATGTCAAAGGAATTTTTTTTTTTTTTTTAATCAAGTCTTACCTACTAGAAAACAACTTGCTCATTTCACTTCATCCATATTCATTTTTTTTTTCTCTCCACATGTACTCACATAATCAGGACAGTGACAAATTTCATCACAATTGAATAAATTATTTACATAACTTTTTTTTTCCCCCTAGAGTGCAGAAGTGTTTCAGTTTAGAGACACAGAAGTTTGCTTGTAATCTAAGGATTAATTTCCATTCACTATCAATATATGAGAAAAGAATTTCATAAAGATAACCTATCAAATTAAAGAAAAAAAAAAAAAAACTTAAATTTAACTGCTGACAGTGTTGTTTTTTTTTTTTTTTTTTTTTAAAACTTTTGGTTACATTAAGATATTTGATATAATTTTACGTTTAGGAAAATTCATCGTTTTTCATTGAATAGGAAACTCTTGGTTGTTACAAATTTTTTTCTTATTTTAACCCCCCAATCCAACTGGTTAAAAAAGAAGTCTGGTGTTGAATCTTTAGTATTAAGACTGAGTACATGTGATAAACAAAGATCAATTGTATCTAAGAAAACTTAAATAAAATGATTGGTTACAGCTTGTTTCCCTTTTTTTCTTTTTTTGTCTTTTTAGGTTTGCTAAACTTTAATTACGGATCACTGACCGTTTTTATTGCTATATGAAGAAGAATGTCTGTCTCCATCATTTTATTTTTGTTTCAGATCATCTGAATCTGAAGTGAACTTAACTGTAACTTTGAATGAAGGTCGTCGCCGCTGCTGCAGTACTATGACTGAATGCCACTGTTGCAATTCTGCTTTCACTTACCTCCCTTGAGGTGAGTTTTGGAAGGATTTCATACGTATTTAAATTAAAAATTATAGCTAAGAAATACTTAATATCTAATCTCGAATGGAAAACCGATTCAGTATTACCTTGGATATCATTGACAATTATGAATAGAGTTGTTCAAAAATAGAGGTAAATAGAATGTCAAACTCAAGTGGGGAGGATTTTGTAAAGTTAATATAGAAAAATTATAGAATGGGGGGGGTTACTGTCACCATGTTTTAGTTTGAAATCAAGAACAGATGCTAACCTTGTGGATTAAAATAATGTGGCTAAAGAAAATTGAAGATATTCACTCAAGGAGCATACTTAAAAAAAAAAAAATTTGTAAATCTTTGTATCAAGGGAAGAGCTTGATACTGCAGGATGGGGATATACTACTATCACCATTTTGGCAAGTTGTTTTCATTTCAAAATGTGAAATGCAGAAAAACAGCTGAAAATTGCATCTTTCAAAGTCTGTTAGTTACTATGCCAAATATTTATAATTGCTAAGAGTCCTAAATGAGTACAGATTTCTAGGAGATTTGAGGTTATTCAAATTGTTGACTAAAAAACTGGTCTCAAATGCATTGCTCTCAAAGTCTGAGCAGCACAGCAATAATTTGACTGAAGAGATCTAAAATAGATACAGCACACAGAGAATGAATTGGGAGTAAATTTTATATATATCCCTATGCAACTTGATGTTCTCGGCTAAATTAAGAGAACAGGATGATGAGCTGTAGAAGAATAGATGACAAACATTTAGGGTCAAACTTTTTTTTTAGAGAAGAAAATATCCATTTTTGTGAGTTTTAATAATGGTGGTTCATTTCACCTTAAGAAAAAATTGACACATTCACTACCAAAAACGTGGAGATATATATGTCAACAGGAGTTGGAAATACAGCAAAAAGAGAAAAAGGTTGATTGATGTTAGATCACTGGGAGCTGTAAGTAACTTAACTTGATTACATAGAAATTGACAAAATAAAAATGGAATCTGTATTATGTAGAAGCCATCAGGAAAACCTTTATAAAAGAACTCATTACTTTTATTTGCATGAATATTACATAATAAAATTGTTAACATCATGATTCCAATCAGTTTATCCAGCCCTGTCAAAGATACCCAACAGGCAATCAAATGCATTAATTTTAAAGATGTCTAAACTAAAATGAGACTATCAAATGAATACAATTCTAGTTTTGATTTGGAAATTGATATCAACTGTATTTACCCTTAAAAAAAAATAATTTTAGAACTGGATTCATAATGTTGCAAAGTTTACATTAAGAAATTCTACCTTTGAGAAAGTTTGGTTTGGGGTAGGACGGAGCAGTGTGTAAATGTTGTTTTGAATAAGTTTAAATGTTTCATAAAAAGAAACCTTTTTCCTTCCCATTTGATTTGTAGGGCAGACAATGCTGAGTTGACTTGTTTTCTTTTCTTTACATGTTTCAGCTTATACATATAACTAGGAATAAAAAAAAAAAAAAAGCTGGAGAAAAATGATATCATCTTGTGCAGGATTTTGCCAGTTGCCGCATATTCTTTTCCACTGTTGGTGTGAATGGAAACATGATAATTTGATTATCAAAAAGCATTTTGTCCATATTTTGGAATTGAGGCCCATCTTTGAAGCGTAGCAGTAACTGACGGCCTGCAAGTAAAATAAACATTTATTGTTCTGTTCAATTCAGTTAAAATTTTTCTTGTTTAAAGAAAAAAAAATTGTTCATTGTTATTTTTCTGTTTGTCTTCTCCATTTTACAACACTGGCTGCATTGAAACATTTGATGCCAGTAGTTTTAAATGACAACAGATTGATTCTCCAGCAGTGTATTTTAGATGTTCATTCTATTTATGGTCAAGTCATATGAAATCATTAGGCCTGAAAATGCTAATCTTCTACTGTATTGCAATAAGGAAATTAACAATTATCAACTTAAATTACCTTTTCCTCTTAAGGCGGGACAATTGCAGATATCTTTTAGCACAGGAACAACATGTTTGTCAATGGCAAGTTTTTTATGTGGTCGAAGGTCAGCAATGATTTTCAGTACATCCTTTTCTTTTGCTGTGGCAACTTTGAAGACTGAAATGCATAAAACTTGGTCATAACATGAGGTTTACTATTACAAGCTTTTTATTTGAAAAATAAGATAAATGACATAAACACCTTAGTATATAAGAAAATATCTCACCTTCATATGCATGGCAAAACAAGTCATGATATCCATCAGGTATTTTGGCCAAGCATTTGGGACATTCAATCTTCAATGAAAATACAAAACAAAAGCCTGATTAAAAGTTAAGATGCTATTAGATTTTTAAAAACATAATCCAAGATGCAAAGAACAAACTTATTTTACTTAGGATGTCTCCAGTTTATATATATATATATATATATATATATATAATTTTTTTTTTTTTTTTTTTTTTTTTTCTTCATAGAAATTTGATCACAATTTAAACTTGTGACAATTTTGGAATTGAACTGAAAAAGCATTACCTTTGCTGCATCTTTTATTGTTCTGTTCATTGCAACAGATTCTAATTCAGGCTCTGGTGTTGGTTTGGGCTGGGTTTTCATAGTAGTTACTGGCAAATCTTCACTGACAGCAGTTGTCACTAAGTTTATAATAAAAAAAAATAAAAAAAAAATAGGTATACTATATAGAAATGTCTTTGTAAATTTATACTGATGCAAAAATCAAAATGAATACCTTTTCTCTATGCTTTCATAGGAAGATAGTCATTTACAAGAAACAAATGAATTTGGCTACACATTGCTATATATATATAATTTTCTCTCTCAGGTAGGTTTAATTAGTTATAGTGAAAATTGTCTTTGTTGGAAATGAATTCAGCTATTATAGACCTATAGCTTGACATTATTTGTTCTAGCAATTATTAGCAAGTTCAGTAAAAATAAAAAATCTGTTCCTTATGAATATATATATATATATATATGGCTCATATAATCCAGAATGGATTCCTTAAAGTTGATATTTGCTAAAAAGTATTTTTCCTACAATTTATGAAACTAACATTGTACAAATTTTTTGATCCCATTGAAATCTGTATCATAACACTTATGCACATGGGTAAATAAAAAGAATGTAACCCTTTGTACAGGGATGGTTAACACCATTATTGCTGTATACACTTTTGACTTTAAAAATTGCTGAGTGTAAAAAGCATATACAGTAGGTACGTCCACTTTTTTGCTGCAAAACGGCATAGCATGATGAAAAAAAGGCACCAAAATTAAAAAATTTTGGCGATATCTTTTGATTAAGAGGAAAGAACAAGGTAAAGTATTTTTAATTATTTAAAAGGTTTTTTTTTTTTTTTTCCTTTCTAACATGTTTGGATTTGTTGTTCTGTTTTTTTTTTTTTGTTTTTTTTTGTTTTTTATTATTATGACTTGATTGAACTAGTAATTAATAGTGTTTTAACACTTTACCAAACCCCATGAAACATTGATTTTGAAAATTCTTACAAAAATGAAATAAGTCAAATTGTAATGGAATTTTCAGGACTTACTCAAAAATTAATGAAATGTGTGTTACCCTGATGGCTTAATTTAATGAAATTGAGATTTTTTTTTTTAATTTTTTTAAGACTCCTTGAATGTAAATGATCCAGCTCCTGACAGCCACCAAAAGAAAAAAATATATATATTGCCCCTGAATCATAAACTGAAATTAAAGCTTTTAACTGCTTTTGTAAATAAGATGAAGAACACATGTCTTTTTAAAAAAAAAAAAAAAAAAAAAAAAAATAATTGAATTTTTACAAGAATTGTTTTGATTTATGAAAATTTAAATTATTTAAGTCATGTAAAATTCTGCATTAATTACAATATCACCTAAAAGAAAATAAGTAGAAACCGTATTTACAAATAAAATCTTGAAAAGGTTAATGTAAGTTGTTTGGCATTAAGATTTTTTAATCCCCAAAATGTGTGATTCTAATACAATTTATCCAAACATCTAAAGTTTGCAGTATATCATCCCATGTCTACTTCTGCTGTTTTGTGGTCAACTAAGTGAAGCTTGGGTTAGAACATTTGTAAAGAAAGAAATTTTCTAAGCAAATATCAGAATCTTATTTCTTAACTTCATTAATAAAGTAAACTTAGTAAAT